ACTTCTTCCAATATTTTTTTAACAACAGACACAAGAGCTGAAAGAGGAGACAGAGGAGGAGAGACAAGAGGGGGAGTATAAATCCAGAGCTGCAGATAGTAACAGGCTAGTGGGTAATAGAGCTGGCAGGAACAGAGAAAGGAAGGAGCAGATAAGACGACAGCCAGAGGTGGGCACAGTTAATCAAAGATTTAACTCTGTTAACCGTTAATCCGTTAACAAAGACATTAACTTCGATATCAGAATATCAGTTAATTTTGTTAATATTTTGCGGAAGTTAAAATTAAAGTTAATGTTAACCAATATCATCAATAAACAACAAAAAGCTTTTTTCAATGTAAATAGATCAGCGCTTACAGTTGGAAGAAATTGAACTTTTGGAACATTGCGGTGCTCATCAATCTCACTTCTCCATCCCTGACCAATCAGAATAAAGAAGGTGCAGGACTTCTTATATCAGTTTTGTCAACAACAATGCCGGAGAAGAAACTGATCAGACTCGTCTTTTTGAGGGTAAAGTTTCCAGATCTAGATCTGCGGCTAATGCATGGACACGATTCATTTACAATGTTTTTATGTTTTCTTGGTGAAATTTCCTTGAATAAAAGCAAATATTAAGCAAACTGAGCTGTCTTAAAAGAACTGTCATTACCGAGGGAAGTAGAGGTTAACTTTTGTAACCAAGCAACAATGAGCTCTGGTTAGAAGCTCTGGTTTTCAGAAAATGTGTGCTCAAACATGCTGTTTGGAGATGTTCCATGTTCTGAGTGAGCATGGTCATACCCTATATAGTCCACTTAATGTATCCCACAATGCATTTTGAAAAGTAGTGTGCGATGAGCGATGGTCACTATGCGAGCAATATATACCATCATGCATTGATTTTTACGAGCATTGAGTGGCGTTTGACTCGGCTGCTCTCAAACGGACGAGAGGAGCGACCAGCATGAACACAGAAACTCAATAAAGTTCATATTCAGAGCGTTTTACTGAACTCTATGATCGGTTTTAATAAAGATTAAAAGATCGTCAACTTTAGTGATGTTAGTTTGTCCTAATGATGATGACAGACGAGAAACCAGAGTCTGTGAGCATAAATAATTTAGTTTTGGTCCGAAAATATGTCTCATTATGTAAAATTCAATATTTTATTATTTATTATTTATGCTGTTATTTACCGTTGTTATTGATCCTCGGCCGTTGTTAAGCTGCGCGTTTCAGTGCAGTCACTATATAGTGAATAGGGAGTAGGGAATGAGTGAGTGATTTCAGACACAGCCATTGATGTCATTCTTATTCCCTCTCCAACAACTCTTGCCATTTGTCTTGCTGTCAGTGACTCCTTTATTTCTCCTTGTGATGTGACTGATTAGACCAGTGTTTGGTCTGGAGAAATTTAGGGGGGTTGACCTTGGAGAAATGCAGGGGGGTTATTAAGATTGAAATGTAATTTAGAGTAATATAAACCACATTTTCCTTGGCGGTCAACTCAAAGTTGAGCTGCTGAGCTGACATCATCTCCTCAAGGAGCTTTACAAGAAACCTTATGCAAATATTTCTGAGTTGTACTTCACATGATGATTAAACTGTTCTTGCAGTGAAGTGCAAACAGAAATGTACTACTTAATTTATGGGAAAAAAGCTGAAATCATTAGTTGATTAATAAATAAATGTGTTGGGAGTACTAAAGAGTACTTTTTGGTTCTTTTTTGGTCTCCATAAATAGAAGGCGAGCATCTTTACACATTTTCCATACAAGCAGTAAATCAAGAAATAAAAGAAGTGCGAAAGGTCCAAAGCAAGGGGAAGCCGGTGGCCTTGTGGTTAGAGCGTACGCCCCATGTACAGAGGCTGTCATCCTAAACGTGGATGGCCTGGGGTTGAATCCGACCTGTCCCCTATTTCCCAGTCTATCCACTGCCCTGTCTCTACAATAATGGCAGAAAAAACCCCTAAAAAATCTTCTTCTTTTTTTTAAATCCAAAGCAGACGGTGAAAATAATTTAAAATAATGAGATGCGTGAGTCGTGTGCAGTGGTTGTTTTAATTATTTTCTTCACAGTAAGGTGAAGGGGGTAAGCAAGGTTAACATTGCAGTAGAAACACTTTCACTTTAATTCTGTTCTGCTCTCTTTTCATACATCCCAAACTCTCCTGTTCATAAACTAATGATTTCGATAGCTTTATAAGATGCTGTTCTCTGAATATATGGAGGACACAGTAAATCACAGGCGATGTGAGGTAAGTGCTGCCTTCAAACGCAGCCTTAGTCTACTTTCCTCCTTGGCTAGATTTGAGATATCTTCTGACATTCCTGGGAATCTCATTTATCTTTTTGAAAGGTTTTTCACGAGTCCCAGTAAGTTAGAGGAACAATCAATACGCTGTCTTTCTGTCAATGTCAACAGTTATTGGGAACAAACTGGGTGGATTGAAAGCGACTTTATTGGTTTTGTATGTTTAATGTTCTTGACATACCAAAGTCACATAGGTCATTGCACAATCTATCTTCAAGAACATCCTTAAGAGAAACAGACAGGCGCTGTTTCTGTTTTTACGGTAGACGATTAACTCCGATGACCCGGCTGTGACCTCACATGCTGTTGAAATTGAGTCTCTGTGACAAACTCCTGTAACACACCACCCTTAAAGAGACTTCAGTGGCTTTGTCAGAAGAAAAGCAACAATTACTCCCTCTGTTATCTTCATTTTGTTGTTTTATAGACTTGCAGAGTGAGTGCAGACGGGTGTCTGTGAGTGTGTTTGCATTGAATGACGACAGTAATGATTTGATTGGCTTAGCCCCAGGGAAGAAAAGGGATAAGCGATGATTATCTGGAGATTGATTGTGGACAACGAGCGGGGGACTTTTCGTGCTGCTTCCGAGATTGATCCAGGTGGAAGAAATGGGACTGCATCATTTGTATGCAGGGGGAATGAAAAGAGAGAACAAGCCTTTAAATTTAACACAATGACGGAGGAAAACATCCAAATGACGATGTTCTGTCTGGCTGCCTTTTGTGTCTTATATCATGATTTTCTTTCACTGGCTTTCACTTTCTCCCTTCGTCATCATTATATGTTCTTTTGCAACAGTACGGTCAGACCAAGCAATCTAATTGGACAAGAACATGTATGTATCTCTCCGCCTCATCCAGGTGTTCTGAATACAGTACATTAACATTACAGCAGACAGTGTTTGAGAAATTAAAACATAGAAACAAACTATCTGGTCCGTGGTAACCATGGACACAAACAAAGAAACTGATTGCAGCAGAATGTTGTCTGTGTCAGGAAAAGTGTCCCCAGACCCTATAAAGGCATGAGTTTCAATTGAAGACTATTTCATAATCAGCTAAAACTTCTCACAGGAGTTTTAACTTGTTTTTGTAAATCATGTTTGACTTTTCACTCTACTTAATAAGGAAGCTGCACTATTTGGCCACCATGCCATTGAGAGATTTTAAGACCCCAACACTCTGGCTTCCTTCACAGCACATCTGCCAGCTGTTCATTTTCCTCTCTGAGACGCTGAGGAGGTACTAAGTGAGTAGTTGGCAGGAGGAAGTGATATTGAAATGAGGTGGAGGAAAGCAAAGGGAGCTAAACCGTAGATGGAGAAGATGATAGTGTTGAAAACAGTGTCCATCTCTATTTGAACAATGTATCAAATAGAATTGTATCACTAGGATAGTCATCTGCAGTGACTCAGAGATGTATGAACTGATTCTGCAGCTCTGTGAAGTGTTTCAACATCTCCTGAATCATTTTCTGGCTTTTACAGCCCTTGCTGGTGTGATTTGGTCTCACCGCTCTCACCACTGCTGTTTTCCAGCCTCAGAAGACAGCTTTAGCCCATGAATTATTCGTAGATAAACAAAGTAAGCAACTGGTTGGTGAACAAAGTGGGCCATTTAGCAGCTTAAGAGCCAGATATTTCCCTGAGGAGTTGTTGGAGAGCTACACAGCAGAATGAATATTGGAGTGACGTTTAGAAAAACTCCATAAGAATGCTTGCATTGCTCCGTGTTGGCGCTCATCTGCAGTTTAGCGGCTGTTTGCTCACAAAATAACCGTATCTGTTGTATAATGCAATGACATGGTGTTTCTCAATGATTTATCCTTCAACTTGCAAAACTCGGCTCATTCAGATTTATTTTGTTTTTTGCTATAATGTGTAGCCTTTTTATCGTTTCCTGTTTTTCTTTTTACAAGCATGCAAAATGCCTTTTATAAAATGGTTATTTTTCAATTCCTCAGTGAGTGTGTTTACATGATCCTAGTATCTCTTTATGAGCTTCATCCTGGTGTTGATCAAATCTGGGATATGGGTTTACGTGCACACAGAGAAACCTGGTTATTCATATCCCTGTTTACATGATAAATACCCGTATCCATGTTTCTCATTACTGCATCTTATTATTATCTTATGTGATGTTTTTGGTTTTTTTTTTTAAATTAAGTGCTGTAGTAATGTTTCTTCAGTACTTTTCAACTTGACCTGACTTGCAGCCTGTTCAACACTGACTTGAGTAGAGCAGCATTTTTATTCTTATCCAATCTAAACTTCCAGTTTTATTTCATTCTTTCATTACTGAAAGACAAAACTCTCTCCAGAAGTAAGACATTCTTGTTGCCGCCGCCATGTTTGTTTTGGTTGTCACCTGGCTGAGCAGGCAGCTGGCAGCGGTCAGATACCAGGGTAAAAGTTTTCCGTTTTCTTTCTGAGTTCTCCAGGTAGCAAAAAAACGTTTTTTTCTCAAAATCGTGATAGTGACTTATCCCTGATTTTGAAATCCGATTATGATGTTTACATCCACAGACACAAAAACAGGATACTAAAGTCCATGTAAAGGCAATCTGTTTTCTGGTTTAAAAAACTTCTGTATTCTTCCATTTATTAAGTATTTCACTCATCTTAGCACACCTTCTGCATGCGTTTTTCACCTTTGAGAGTGATGCAAAGTAACTCATGCACTTTCACTGTGTTTTTTTTCCAGAGCTGACAAGAGCTTCTCCAGGACCAGAACCTTATGGTGAGTCCTCTGCTTATTGAATAACTACGCATGAGAGTTTTTTTGTGCTTGACTGCTCTCAGCAACTTAAATGTTTCATCTCCAGCCAATGAAGCTTTTGAGACATAAACTTTTTATTCTGTTCATGGACACACCAAATTTTTGATCAGGTATTGGACTTCAACATGGAAAAGAAAGATTTTTATATCACCCATTTAACAAATGAAATCAAATTAAAAAAAATGAATAAATGCAGCAACCACAACTCACGTCATCCTCATCAGATTTTCCAGATAGAGGTCACAAGTCACAAGTCACAAGTTACACAATGTGTGGATGTTTGCTTGCAATTTCAGTATGTGGAATGACAACACTCATCTGTTTCTATCATGTTCACCAGACTTGTTATTGTGTTCTGCAGGAATAACCAAGAAATGTTCCTCACAAGCTTAGATCCCTTCATCATGTCATGGTTAACTTGTTTCTCGTTCTTGGCTTGTTTCGAATGTGCTCACGTTTATGTCTCCACTTAAACACCTATGCTCTCTTATAGCTTAGGACATCTGCATGTGATGGAAACAGAGATGGAGGATCCAGTAATTTTCCCTCTTGGCAGGTAGTCTGGCAGCATGTAGGGAGGAATGTGTTGCTGTAAATACAGGAGAGGAGCAGATGGAGAGAGACAGGGAGCACAAGTGTGTGTGTGTGTGTGTGTGTGTGTGTGTGTGTGTGTGTGTGTGTGTGTGTGTGTGTGTGTGTGTGTGTGTGTGTGTGTGTGTGTGTGTGTGTGTGTGTGTGTGTGTGTGTGTGTGCATGAGACCAGCTGGACATGTGGGACAAACTCAAGCATCAAAGGCCACAGAAAGAGTCATGGTGCTGCTTTACCGTGGATAAAGATTGGCAATATTTATCTCTGCCTAGCGCGATAATGGAAGCATACACTTCATAATTTTTGGTGCTGTCAGTTGTTGTCATGACCATGTTTATAGTTGTTTGATATGTTACTTTTATAATAGCATGGTCCTGCTGAAAACCCAGTTCTGATTGGCTGCAGGCTGTTCCATTCATTCCTGATAACTGGCACCAACTGAGTAGCAATCGTATCAATCTTATGTTCAGTGTTTTGTGAAGCGCTGGCTACACAGGATCAACCTACATCTAAAAAAAACAGTATCTGCAGCAACAGGGGGGCAGTCAAAGCTTCTGTTTACAACTAAGCAAACTAAATCCAAAGCTATTCTTGACTTTTCAGTCCCTCCTCCTCTGAACACCTCAGGAAGAGGACTGTATTGCACAATCTTCAAGAAGTACAATGCCTGTCTTAACTGAGGTATATGTTGATCACATGAGGATTTATCTGAAATCCAGCTCACTTCTAAAGGCCGCAACGGCTACCTGACAGTAAACATGACTTGGCATTTGTTCTTAAAAACCTTGATGCTGATTTGGCGACAATGTCGTAACTGGTCAGCAAGCTAGTCTCATTGTTAAACATGCTGTAAAAATACATTCCCTGTTTGTCTACCATAATCAATATAAATGACTTTGATTTTAGCTACCAGACTGTTAGCTTTTTGGCTAATAGCTCAACCAAACGATACAATGAGCTCAGCTGGCTGGAAATATCCCCCTTTGCCAAGTCGAAGCTATAAGATTTGTTCAGTTTACGGGAGTAGAGAACATCGATTTCACTGCTTAAGAATCTAAAGACGGAAACAGTTATTTCAGGTATTAGTTAAACCCTCATGGGAAACCATGGAAACAGAGTAAAGTAATGTTAGAAACTTCAGATTTTGATTAAAAAAATGTACTTAAACTCCAATCTTTGCCTCAGGACCTTGATATACGCATGGTAATACCACGTTGTCAGAATCAGGTGTTTTATGGACTCTCTAAAAGTCAGACAGTTTCTTAATTATTCCCAGAGAACACTTTAATAGGCATTATCCCCATAGTGATAAATTGACGTACTTATATCCACTATTTCGTACAATATGGGATTCATATATTATCATGAAAATTGGTTATCTGCTTCAATAGTCCCTGGTCATTATTAGATTTTCTTCTATTTAACGTCACTGGACACAGGGCACAGAGACAACAATAAAAGGGGGAGACTAAATATTAATTACACTTTTCCTGACTGTTATGTCTGCGTATTGTATGTACTAAAGCAGGAGAGAATATTATGCTGTTTGGAGAGAGTTTTCCCTTCGGTGTGCTTGTCTCTCAGCTGGCTTTAAAGCATCTGAAAGAATTGTGTTGCTTTATTATTACACATGAAATGGGCTTCAGAGTCGTAAAAAAAAAAAAAAAAAAAAAACGAGTGATAATGACTCTGCAAAGGACAATGAGGGGTTATGAGGGAATCATTCCTTATGACAGTTTACAGGTTTCTCTCTGAAGAAAAAAAGGTCTGCAGTGCATGTTGATAGCACCTCAGAGCTGGGCTGTGTTCTGATTATAATCACAGAGTCATTAAGCCAATTGTGTTTATACAATCAGTCTCAGCCTACACGTACATTACAAATCCAATGTATCGACGCAATGCTTTTTTTTTTTACATTCCCTTCATTTTTTGGCTTGATCACTTAAGAAAAGATGCATGACCTTCTTTCTTTTGCCTAGCTGTCTCCAACGTCTCACCTGAGACACACACATACACACACACGCACACACACACAAACACACACAAACACACACACACACACACACACTCACACACTCACGCACACACATACACTTCTTGTTCTTCCCTCCATGTAGACGTTACTCCTGTCACCCTGAATCATTGGGGCGAAGTGCGGCTCCTAATGTAAGGAGGGAACACGCTTACTTTACTGTGCTAAACTGCTTGCAGTTCACTGTTCCCAATTAAACCATCATTAGCTTGATTGCTGTCGATAATGGTGGTGCTTATCTTAGTCGGGCTGCAGCTCCTGCTAAGCTGCAATAAGGCAGACAGCATAAATAGTCATAAGTGTCATTCTCAATGCATACTACTTATTTGAACTAATGGGGGAAAGCATTTCAATTAGATATCACAGTTACAATTACTGTGTGGTGATGCAGCAAACTACGTGGAACAACTTTGATTATGATGTTATATTATTTGATCGCAGTGCAATTTAAATCTATGAGGAAATTTCGTTTTGTATCGATTTCACCTACCCCTGTAACTGCCTCGCCACCTTTTTTTATGGTTATGTCCTCTACATGTGTAAGTCGAGTTTTTCTAACAAGAAGTCTCCTCCAGCTTTCTTTCAGCAAAAGGTACGGCTGGTGAATCTTTGCAGTGGAAAATCCAAATGTATCATATCGTGGCTAGTATTGTATCGTATTGCCTCATATCCTATCGTATCTATGATGATGTGCTACAGCTGCTTTTCATTATGCTCCTAGTTAAAATATGTGATCAGCATTTCTATTTTAATCTTGACAATAGTTTCTTAATTAATTCATTAAGTGAGTTAGACCCCCTCATGGCACCTGTCTTCAGGAGTGCGCTGCAGGAGGTGAGTGCCTGTTGCCTCACAGCGCTCCCCTCTGAGCTGCCCCGCGGCTGTGACTATGTGCAGCCCTTTGACTGACATGAGGAGCTGGGTGGTAATGAAGTGGTCCTCAGTGCTGAGCGTTGAGATTGAGTGGGGCAAAGAGGCCTCTAATTGGGCATCTGTGCCTCTTCAGATCGCTGTTAATGGCCGCTCTCCGCTCTCATGTCAGAGTCGTGAGGAGAAAGCAAACAGAAAAGAAGGGAGCCAGCTGTAGCTCAACCGGCAGACCAAGACTCAACAGAGTCAGGATGTAGATTTGACTCTCATAGGGACAATCAAACTGTTTACATGTGCCTTATTTAATAGAGGCTTAAATGCAAAATATGAACAAGATGCCTTTCTATTATTGCATTGCACCCCATATTGCCCCCCCCCCCCCCCCCCCAAACAGTCTGGAGGACTGGTTCAGCTCACAGATGTTCAGTTGGAATGAGATCTAAAGCCTGAATAGGCTGCGTCAACCAGAATTCATTGTAAAGTTATTATAAACATTCCTGTACAGGCTGTAACCCCGCTGACATAATATCCGGAGGCTTCAGTTTCAATAAAACCAAACCTACAACATTCAGCTCCACCCAACTTTTTGGATGTTGGGGGGTGTATGTGGTCATCTTTACTGGACATTCTTTAACTATTTCAATATTTTTAGGTCTCCTGATTTATCAGAAGTTAAAAACGAAGCTGTTGAACTCTGAGAGATTATTGGCTGTCACAGCAGGTTGAAAAGGTTCACGTGTTCCTCTATGAGTCTCTTAGTCAGACTGTCACTTACTGGCTGATACCATCTGTTGCTCTGCACAGTTCATGTTACTGTTGATATCTAGCAAGAGCCTCTGCTGGAGTATATGAAGGAAACTTCAGTCCCCTCATCCCCTCAATTATTTGAAAATATCCCTGATGCTTTGGCCTAGTGGTTAAGATCGTACCTGTCAAAAAGATCTCAACGTGATTTGTATAGCAACATGCTGTCGGTCCTGAGCTGTTAGGCATGGGGTTCCACAGGGGTCTGTGCTGGGTACATTGTTTTCACTTTACCTGTCACCAATGGGTCGGATCTGGATTTGGAATGGCCTTTTAATGTTATGCAGATGATTAACTATACACTGGTGTAAACAGAAACATATTTATGTAATAAATCATGTAATCATACATGATAGTTTTGGATTTTACTCAGTAGTCATGTTACTATCGCAGGGATGTGTCTACAAATGTTCAGGTGACTTCCCCTGACTAAAATAGAATTCCTACAGCTTTTCATTAAAGCCTTGAGTCTTTTGTTCTCATTAAAGGTGTGACAGCAGCTCTCGTTAAACCCCTGGTTGTACCATTGAAAATGTTTTACAGAGTCACAGTAGCTGAGTTTTATCTCCGTTAAAAACCACTGAGGCTTTGACTTGTTATCCAGCTTGGAGCTGCCTTCGCTGCATCAAAAAGCATGCGGGAAAGAGACCCCCGCTGCGACCCAGA